AGCCTATCAGATCCTATCAGAGCCTATCAGAGCCTATCAGAGCCTATCAGATCCTATCAGAGCCTATCAGAGCCTATCAGAGCCTATCAGATCCTATCTGATCCTATCAGATGCTACCAGCCTATCAAGTCCAACGCGTCGAACACGACTTCAACATTCAAGGTTTCCTTGTCCCATCTTCTTCATCTCCCATTGTTTCCTCCTCCCCTCTAGTCTCCTCCCCTCTTGTCTCCTCCCTTCTCGTCTCCTCCCTCTTGTCTCCTCTCCTCTAGTCTCCTCCCCTCTTGTCTCCTCCCCTCTTGTCTCCTCCCCTCTTGTCTCCTCCCCTCTTGTCTCCTCCCCTCTTGTCTCCTCCCTCTTGGCTTCTCCCCTCTTGTCTCCTCTTCTCTCCCTTCTTTCCACTCTGCTCTTCCTGTCCCTTTCTCACCGCCCCCCACCCTCCGAATCCTCTTTTTTCTCTCCCTCCTCTTGAGTCTGTCCCTTTCTTCTAATCCCTGCTCCCTCCGACTCCCTATCTTCCAAGTCCTGTTCTCACTTCACATGCAAATTTTAACAAGGAATGCTAGGTTGTTCAGTTTTGTTAGAACACTAGGATTATAAGACATCAAGACAGAAATTGCTTTTTGTTTGCGAACATTCTCGAGTTTGTTGCAAAACTGTCACCGAGTGATATCATTTCTTCATCATTTGTAAGACACGCCATTTCAGCTGGGGTCCTAGCTTTGGGGCTTGAATGATCCGTTTGCAGTGCAGGTAACGTGTCGAGAGGAGGAACCGCGTTGCGTATGTTGGACGATACGTGAGTTGAACATGCGTTTCATTTCATCATGGTATCCTCGGTTCCAGCTGCTTCGTCGTCTACTGCTGCTGCCACGGCTACGGGTGCACCCGCATCACTGAGCCCAAACTCTGTTCTAAGAGTTGAAGTTCCTCTGCTACAAGTCTCAAGGCACCATCACAGTATTTGATGGGTCTCCTTCTCCATCCAGTTCTTTGAGCCCTGCAACGAGCCCTTCTTCGTCATGGTTCTTCTTCGTCATGGTTCTTCTTCGTCATGGTTCTTCTTCGTCATGGTTCTTCTTCGTCATGGTTCTTCTTCCTCATGGTCTTCCTAGGAGCGTACACTTACACTCAATTCGTCACGCTCAACCTAAATGCCAGGTAACCTGTCGCAGACACTGAAAAGCGAGTGTATCCAAGCGACCGCGGGCACCTTTGGGGTGGACATGAGCCCTGGAAGAAATGCAGCAGGAGGCTGTGGAGGCGATACAGAGCGGGAGGTACTCGAGAGCTGAAGAGCTCGCGCTCCTGCTGGAGGCTGCTGAAGCCTCCAACATGCCCGACAGCATGTCCTCAGCGTCTCGCTGTTAGTGCGATGGCACTCTTCCCCTCCCCCTCCAACTAGCAACAAGGCATCAGTGAGCCGTGACTGTTCAAACCCGCGCTCTAGTAGCTGTCTTGATCAGCTTCTTCAGCTAGTCTAGTAGCTGTCTTGATCAGCTTCTTCAGCTAGTCTAGTAGCTGTCTTGATCAGCTTCTTCAGCTAGTCTAGTAGCTGTCTTGATCAGCTTCTTCGGTACTGGATGCATTGCCTGCTGCTGTCGCACGTCCCAAAGTCCCCTACTGTCAGCAAGGAAGGCCACACGGCACTGTGACTGCGGCAGGGACAGCCGTCGATCACCGTACGATTGTACTTAAATGGCCTTGACAACACAGAGGCCCAGGCAGTACAGTGTCGGACTGACACTGCTGTCTTGACTCAAGTTTCCCTTCCGAATCACTCCGAGCGGCCGGCCGGGCGGGCGGGCCCGGGGGCGGCATCGGGAAGCAGACTGAGAGGAAGTTACGTCAAGGCTTGTTGAGCTCTATCAGCCTCGCCTTGAGCTTTGTGTCCCTGCATTGCTCTAGTGCGTAGCTGATCCCCTCCCGCGTCATGATCGGGGCACATCGCTCAAGGCAGCGGACGGTCTCCTCCTTCTCCAGGTGGTAGCAGTAGCGAAGCACCCAGCCAGCCCCGGTGTTGCTGAACCTCTCGCTGCTGATCTTCAGCGCAGCCTCACATGCTGCGACGAGATCCCTGACGAAGCCGTTGTAGTGCAACTCATCTCCTATGACAGCCTTGCTGCTCTTCTTGGGCGACACGTGCGTCACAAAGCTCACATGCCCTGCCCTGCGCTGCCAAACCGAGCTATCCTCCAGCTGGCTCCACGCAAGGAGCTTCTTGACAGCGTAACGGCGGACGTCAGCATTGCATGACAGCACGAAGAGGCCAAGGACTTTCCCACTGAGATTGTCCGAGCTCGACCAATCAGCGATTGCACCAGACTCAAAGAGGAAAGCCATCTTGCTCAAGAACTCGTCCACGTCCGCTTCCGTCACGTCCACGTCCTTCCTCCGTCTCTTCAGAGACGATTGGAGCACGAGAATACCGGCTTGCTTGTCGTCGGAGTACTTGGATTGCATCAGCTCGATTCCGGCTCTCTCAAAATCGTCTGCCTCAAGCTCCTCTCCTAGTTCCTTCATCGCGTCTTCAACCGCGAGCTTGATCGCCGGCATCTTGTTGCCACGGTGCAGCGTTCCCTTCAGATACTGTTCCTGCGCCTTCTTGGTCTTGGAGTCCGAAGAGCTCTGCAGCTTGCTCTTAATACTCCGCACAAGACTGGCATACTGCTCCTCTCCCGCCGCCTTGCGCTTCCCCATGGAGCAGCGAGGCCTTGCAGGAGGCCTTGCTGTCTTGAGACGGGAGCACCAGGAGGGTCTGACGAGCGAGAGCACGCGGAGGCTGCCAAGTCCTTGCAGGAGTTGCAAGTGGCTGGAGGCTCTAGGGGAGGAGACTGGGGGCAGTTGACGTGAGAAGGCACGGGAAGAAAGAAAAACGTCAGCGGCGCGAGAGCGTCTGCACCCTCCCCATATATAATTGATCAAAGCTCCCGTCTTCAATGGGAGGAGGAGCGAGATGGAGATAAGAAACAAGTCAGCAGAAGCTCTCAGCAGTTTCATCAGTGTGCTTGATCGAAGAATGAAGATGATTTCTGCATGATCCTCGAGAAACACTTAGCAGACTACACCAAGGATCCGTCAATGGATGCCAGATCAACTCTCCTGATGGTGCGTTTGGGAGTTACAAACAAAAAAGTAGAACATATGAGATGAGATTTCGATTTAGGCTGAGGGTGGAAAGAAGGACGAAAAGAAGGCTGTGTCGATGGCAAGCATACCAGAAGGCAAGAGACATCTACATCGTCACATTGAGATCAATATGCAGATGTTTGTCTTATCCTAACTGCTTCCTCATCTCCACCTTCCTTTCTCTATCACGCATGATTGTTTCCGCTCACTGTCCTGACCTCCCTCCTCCCTCTAACCCTCATCTCTCCCTCTACTCTCACCATTGATTGACTTTGAGCCTTCTCAGTTCTCTCTCACTGTTTCCTCTGCCTCTTGGTTCTTCCAACTCTTTCCTCTCCTCCCTCCTCCTTCCTATCTCCTCCCCCCTCCCGCCATCGTATTTGTTCCAAGAGTCTCATCTGTTTATTTCCGCCACAGAAGTTGAATCGAGCCCGCCTCAGAAATCGGACTCCGGCCCCGAAGGTCCGGGTGCCCGGGTGACATTCACTGAGAGCCCCACAAGTCAGGGGGTTACAGGAAGGGGTAGTATTCCAAGGATCAGAGCGGGTGGGGGTGCAAACGGTTTCGGAAATTACTCTTTACAGCTGGGAATAGGTCGGGGTGTAGTGTCAGGGGTACCTTTGGAGCAAGGGTCTTGTGATCCATGGGGACCAAAGAAGGGGGTGGGTGAAGGGGAGACGAGAATGTATTACCAAGGACCCACATATTTATCTGAAAGTAGGGGGTCATGGAAGGGAAAAATGGATCTGTGACTCAAAAAAGGGGTATGCTTGATTTTGGTAAAATGGGAGGGTAGGGGTGATACAATTACATTAGGGTGGGTGGTAGGGGGGCGATCTGAAGGCCGTACTGAGTGGGTGAAAGGGGGGGGGGGTTTTAAATGCTTATATGTTGTTGCCCGACGAAATTAGGGGGTGGGGGTGACAAGCGAGGAGAAGGGAGGGTGAGGGTGTGTTGCAAAGAGGGTGGTGGGGGATGCCTGCAGAGATGACGGGTGCCTAGATGGAAAATTTTGATATTCAAGTACCGGTGCAATATGATGATCATTTTTCATCAGGGGTTAGGTATGTCTCTCAACCATTTCAGGGGGTAGGGTCAAGCTACTTTGGTTTAAAATGAATATTGGGGTAGGACAGCCAATGAGATGTAGGGGTGTGTGGGAAAAAAGTGGGTAGGGGTCCGAGGCCCTCTAAGCGGTGGGGTCATTTTGTATCATTTTTTGCACAAGAAATGGGCTTGAGGTGGGTATTGGTGAGGAATCTGAGGGGTGAAAAATCGAAAGGGTGGGGTAGTATTACGTAGGGAACAGGGGTGGAGGCATGTGGGATAAAAAGTGTGTTGTAAAATTGCTGCTTTTGAGCCCATCTGAAAAATGTTTTAGTTCGAATCAAAAGATTTTTAAAGAATTGTAAACCTGAGTTACTGGTACAAATATCCAAGAAATTTGTACCATTGAGGAGATTTTCTGAAATTGGTACAATTTTCATCTGAATATCTCATAATAATCACTTCTTATGATTATAGATTATCTATAAGTTGTTTTAGTCAAGAGCCAGTGTACCACAATAGCATGGACATTTATAAAGTTTGTAAGAGCCCTTCTACTCATACCACCCTCCCATCTCCCATTTCGACTCATAGTGACACGAGGTAGGGTGGCCAAGGGATTCAAAAACTCTATGGCCCCAAGGGCGGGGGAGCAAGAGACATTGGAGAGGAGAGGAGAGGAAGGGAGAGGAGAGGACAAGTTGGGAGGATGCAGGATAGAAGAACAAAGCTGACTATCGTATGTGAAAAAGAGCGGCGAAACCTCGCAGCATAGTGGCAGGAAGGGCAGGTGCAAGGGAAACGAGGGGTGCGCGTACACATGCAAGTGAGCATTATGAAATGATGTTCATGCTCAAGGAGAGGGTAACGGCAAGCAAGATTGATGCCGCATACTTCAAGAGTTTCTGCTGCGGTTGATGTCCATCAAGATCGAGTCTTGTCATACCAATCATTATGGAGGAATAACAAAAGGAGCAGGAGCAGGAGCAGGAGCAGGAGCAGGAGCAGGAGCAGGAGGAAATGGAAAGAGGAGGCGAGCAATTTGTATGACTCTTTGTCTCCAGACGTAAATCTCTCGGTTGAACTGGAGCTGCATGCACTGAAGCCCGAAGAAGAATCACCTGTCCGCCTGCCCGAGGAAGATCATGCCGATGGCGCACGCACGCACCTTCCTTCTTTTCCTCTTGGCCTCCTCCTGTCACGCAGGCAACTTTGACTGTGCGTCCTCCTCTCCCTCTCCCCTTGCGCAGCAGTGATGGTTTGCTCAGTCTTTAGACTCCGAGGCGGCGATGCCAGGCTCAGCCCTCCCCTGTCGCCTCCGGTTCCTCCGTCTCGTCTCATCCTGTGCCCTCCTGCTCACTCTGTTCCTGTCAGACTAGCAGCACTCGCCAGCAGTCCCCCGAGCAGTACCACCCCAAGGTGAGGAGAGCGAGTTGGCTTTTTCCCTAGGGGATGACGCAAGGGCAGAAATTCTCCATCTCGCTATCGAACACGGAGTCAGGTTGAACCTGCGCACAAGACAAGACAAGCACGTCCTGACGTTGCCCCTCCCTAGAGCATCCAGAGAAACTCTCCAAGATCATCTCATCCATGCCCGGATCAGCAGGGTACGTGATAGCGTTTCACCCTCTCCTCCTTATTGTCATCTCCTTGTCATCACCATCGTCATCGTCGTCACCAATCTTGATTTTTTTCTTGACGTCTCGTTCAGAGTTGTTCCAACCCCCCGCAGTGGCTGGCCTGCAAGGTAGTTGAGCCCTGCCTCTCATTTCGCTTGCTCCTTCTGTCCCCCCCCTCCCCCCCCTCCTTCTCCTCTTGTTGCCCTTTCCTTTCCTTTTCCTTTCCTCTGAAAGTTCTACTCAGATTCCGGCATGAGCTTGAGCTGCTCAAAGGAACAGTTGGTCAGTACAACAACTCGCATCAGGTGAAAGAGACGAGGGAATGCGGTCATGTGTAATATGGTGACAGGATGCGGTGGCCCTGTTGGTGAGAGAGAGGAGGAGGGCCAGTCTGCTGGAGAGAGAGAAGCAGGTGAAAGTTTGCTGTCTCAGTTGACTCGGAGAGATCTTGACACGCTCTGATGTCTGCAGGAGATTCAACACACTATGCTCGAGAAAGTAAAGAGTAGAGCTGGCGGCATTACATGAGCTGATGTGCTGTTGTGATAGCTCGAGGCCATGGAGAAAGTGAAGAACATGATGGAAAAGGTCTCCTCCTTCTCCTCCTCCTCCTCCTCCTCTCTCCTGTTCCTCCCACCTCCCGCTTGTCCCTGCTTCGTCTCCGCCCCCACTCCCCGCTCCCCGATCCTTCTCAAAATGTGTTGCGTGCTCTCCTCATGCGTCATCACAGAGAGCTGTGGCCACTGAGCGCAAGCTGGAGGAACTTCGAGTGCAGCTCGAGAACTCGATAGTGAGTTGTCATATATGGCGATGATGATGGAGATGGAGATAGAGATGGAGATATAACGAAAATGGTGAAGAGGATGATACGAAGAGGAAGAGAAACAGGAGTTTCAGTGTTTCGCTGACATGTGCGGGCAGGGAAGGGACGAGACTTCGCGAGTGAACGTGCAGCTGGAAGAGCTCGAGGCAGCCAAGAACGCGTTCCAGCTCCGGGCTGCGAAGGTGGGAGAGGAGGCCGACACCCTCCGCAAGCAGATGTCCGACGTCCAATCCATGGTGAACAGAATGGGGAGGGGAGGGGAGGGGAGGGGAGTGCAGTTAACGGGAAGGGAGAGTGGTGATGGAGGGAGGAAGAGTGTTTGGCGTGGTGACTGATACCTTGTAGAATGATGCTCTAGTCAACGAGAAGTCGAAACTTGAACTTCGCTTGAGAGAACTGGAGGTGAATCGAAGTCCTCCCCACATCCCATCCATCCACCTACCCTCCCTCCCTCCGTTCCTCCCTCCCTCCCTCCCTCCCTCCTCCTCCTCCTCCCTCCTCCCTCCCTCCTCCCTCCCTCCTCCTTTGGCTCCTGCTGGGCCTGGAGCTGACGAGACGCCTCAGCCATTGCAAGAGAAGTTGCGATACGCAACGAGAGTGAAAGACGATCTTGAGAAAAGACTCTACGACGTGACCATGAAGCATCAAGAGGTGAACTCCTCCCCTCCTCTCCTCCCTTCCCTCCTCCTCCTCCTCCTCCTCCTTTTCCTCTTCTCCTTCCCCTTCTCCTCCTTCCCTTCCCCCCTCCTTTCCACATCGTTCCACCTCTCTCTGTTTGCTCGCTTTCGCCTCAAATTCGGTCTCTACCGCCGGCGCTGCATCGCGTTGCTCTTTCTCGCTCTCCTCACCGCCTTCTTCAGTCTCTCAAGGAGCTCGAACTCTCGAACCGCCTCCTGCAGAAGGCCAAGGTCCGCCTCCTTTAGATCCTCCACAAATCTCATGCGGCCGCTGCCACAGGTGGATGCGCAGGAGGTGATGGACAACAGGACGAAGCTCGAGCGGGACCTTCACGTGGGCCTTCACATCCGATCGGGTGGGTGAAGAGATGCTCACATGCCCCGCAGGTGGCGACGAAGGAGCGAGCGGCGGTGATCTCGCAGCTGAGGGACGCTGACAAGCACGGGCGGGAGGTGAGGAGGGAGGTGTGTGACATCTAGAGGTGACGAGGTGGGCAGGTGGAGGAAGGATCAATGAAGCAGATCGAGGAGTGGCGGGCCAAGCACCTTCACCTGGAGAGGAAAGTTGCTGTGGCCGCAGGTCAGTCCTGTTTCCTTCTCGACCTCCCTCCCACTCTCCTCTCTTCCTCTTCCTCTCCCTTCTCTTGACCCTTCTTCCTCTTCCTCTCCCTTCTCTTGACCCTTCTTCCTCTTCCTCTCCCTTCTCTTGACCCTCTTTCTTCCTCTTCCTCTTCCTCTTCCTCTTCCTCTTCCTCTTCCTTCACTCCATGTTTTCCTTGATCCCCCCTCTCGCCCAACTTCCGCTTGCCCGCACCTACTCCGTTCTTACGGTCGCTCTCCAGCTAAGATCGAGGCGCTCGAGAAGCAGGCGAAGGGCTACAAGTTGCGACTGGCGGCTGCAGCGGAGCAGCAGACGAAAGCCTCAGCTGCAGCCCAGCAGTTTGACAAGGAGAGGTCAAAGCTGATGTCAAGAATCGAAGAGCTCGAGCAGCTGGGAATCCGCAAGCAGAAAGAAGTACGCCCTCCTGTTCCCTCGCCTCCTCTAGCTCCCTTCCGCCCCCTCCTTCTTCTATCTTGCCATCCTCCCCCTGTGCCCTCTCTTCCGCCACTACTGCCACCATCTCCTCCTCCTCCTCTATTCGCCTTGTTTCTTTCCTGTTTCCTGTTACCGCCCCCCCCCCCCTCCCCCCTACCTCCTCGTTCTCCCTTCCACATCCTCTCCTCTCCTCTCCTTCTCGCCTTCCCTTCCCGTCGTCACTTCCGTGCGGCAGGTGGACGCCCTGCAGGAGTCGATCAAGATGATGAAGGACGAGGTAACGCTCCTGCTCTGCTTCCTGCTGTCATGATGAGCCGCTGCAGCTGTCGGAGGCGAGGAGGGAGATGGAGCAGCTGCGAGACAATGCGAGGGTGGAGGAGGAGAGGAAAGTCTCGCTCGAGCACGAGGTGGCAGAGCTGAAGAGGATGCGGGTCAAGGATGATGAGGCGCTTGAGAAGATGAGGGAGGTGGAGGGGCAGCTCCAGGCCTCACTCAGCAACTCCGCCAACTTGAGCGCCCAGCTGAAGAAACTCGAGCTGGACTACAGCGAGGCGGCAAGCCTGCTGAACAAGGCGCAGACGAGCATCCAGGAGCACCAGAAGACGCAGGCGGCGCTGCAGCACAAGGTGAAGGTGCTGGAGGAGGAGAAGACGGAGCTCAAGGCGAGGAGCGAGAGCGCAGACCTCAAGGCCAACGAGCTGAAGCAGCAGCTGGAGAAATCGGAGAAGGGCCGGACGAAGGCGATGGACGATGCCAAGGAGTCGCAGGTCAAGGCAAAGGGGCTGGAGGAGGAGATCTCGAAGCTGACGCGGCACGTGCGGACGGTGGAGGAGGTGAAGAAGGGGCTGCAGGAGCAGTCGGAGGTGGCGAGGAGGGAGATCGAGAGCCTGCAGGAGAAGCTGAGGGCGACGGATGATCGCTATGGGGAGGCGAAGAAGGAGACGGCAGAGGTGGAGAAGAAGCTCAAGACCCTGCAGGCCCTCTCCTCCACCCTCAACTCAAAGCTCAACGCCACCCGGCTGCAGGCCGATCAGCTGAAGAGTCAGCTGAGGGGAGCGGAGCAGAAGGCAGCGGCACTGAAGCAGGAGGTGGCAAAGGAGCGATCATCGCGCATGGACGTGCAGAACGAGCTGAACCAGGTGCGGCAGACGCTGCTCTCCGAGCTGGACAAGGCTGAGCAGATGGGAAGCGAGTGGAAAAGAAGTTCGAGTCCTCGACGACCACTTGCGACGAGCTGAACCAGCAGCTGGCGATGGTGGCGGGAGCGAAGGAGCATCTGGTGACGCAGGTGAAGGGGCTCGAGGACGAGGTGCATAGCCTGCAGGAGAGAGTGACGTCGGCGGAGGGGAGGAGCAAAGCCAAGGAGGAGGAGGCGAAGATGCTGGGGCTGAAGGTAGAGCAAGTGAGGCAGGAGAGCGAGAACAACACGAAGCTCGAGATCCTCAGGATGAAGAAGAAGATCCGCAAGATCCAGATGGACCGGATGAAGGCTGCTTCCCAGCTCTCCTCCGCCCTCCGCGCCTGCGAGCTGAGAGACAACGCGCTCAACGACGCGAGGAGGAGCATCGCGACCCTGAAGCAGTCGCGGGTGAGCCTTGGCAAGCAGCTGGAGACGGTGACGGCAGAGATCGTGACGCTAAAACGCGAGCTGGAGGCGACGAAGCACTCCAAGGACGAGACGCAGAGGGCCGGTGAGGAGACGAAGAAGAAGCTCGAGGCGATGATGAAGGTCAAGCACACGCTCGAGGCAAAGCTGGCAGACGCGAGCGGAGAGATCCAGCAGCTGGGGGGAAAGCTGAGGGAGGAGGTGAAGTCGCACGCGGAGACCAAGGAAGAGATGGAGAGGATGAGGCAGCGGTCAGAGCTGAGCATGCAGGAGCTCAAGGCGGAGGTTGACAAGTGCAAGGGCGACCTCGAGGCCTTCGCCAAGACCAACGCGGAACTGGTGGACGCGCGGGAGAACCTCTCGTGCCGCCTGCACGCGTGCGAGCACGAGCTGTCGGAGTGCATGGCGAAGAAGGAGGAGCTGGCGCGATCGCTTGACCAAGTGATCGCCGAGCGAGACGCAGCGGTGCTGGAGCGACATCAGGCCGTGTGCGAGGTGGAGCAGAGCAAGATCCAGCTGGACCTGATGCATCGAGAGGTCAAGGAGATGCAGAATGTGACGTGGCACCAATGGAACCTCATCGACGCCGCCCGCTCCCAGCTGTGCGAAGTCTACACCGCAAAGAACGAGCTGGAGCTGCAGGTAAGAAGCGCGTCAGCTGGGATGAAGCTGAGGGATCAGGCTGGGATCGAGAGCCTTGAGCAGCAGCTGGAGGAGATCAAGATGGAGAAGGAGGAGCTTCACAAGGCTGCGATGAAGGACAGGAACGACCTCAAGCGCCTTAAGACCATCCTCATGATCGAGAAGGTCGAAGACTTGCAGATCTAAAACTGCTTGCGCTTCTCCTGCTGCGACTCGTCGTCGTCTCTTGTTTCCTAATCGCTTCACTGACTCACTCACTATCTTTCTCCTGCTCTCTCCATCTCTCCTCTTTTCCTCTTCTCTTATGTTTTTCAGTTTCAATCTCGATGTCCCCGAGCTCTAGTGTTGCTTGCTCGGGCTGTACTCCTAACTTTGATAACCATGGTTTGTTAAAATCATCATGTAATCTCCTCCTCGTCCTCTTCTCAGCTCGCTTCTGCTCCTTCCTCGCTCTTCGCTCCATCTGCTCCACTGTCAGCTCGAGAGCACCCCGCCTCTCGCCCACCTGAAGTCTTTGCTTCCTCCTCCTGCCCTGCTGCCTCCTCTCGCGCCTCGACACCCTGCTGAGAGTTGAGATGTGTGACCCGCCGTCTCCTCTCCTACCTCTGCGCTCTGTGCCGCCTCTGCCGCCGGCTGCTCCTCAGCTGCCGTGCTGTTGGGCAGGCTCTCCTGGGGTGGGGCTGGGGGTGGAGCTTGCGCGGCCAGACGAGCTCGCTGCTTCTGGCTGGGGAGAAGGTGAGGGGGAGGGAGGGGACGGGAGGCTCTTACATGTACTTGTTCGCCTCCTCCCACCCGAGCCCCGCAAACACCACAGCGACTGAGAGCCACTGGCCCAGCTAGGAAGAAATTTCTCAGCATGTCAAAGTTCTCCGGCCGTTCTCACCTCCAGCTTGTGTTTGAACCAGAAGACGGAGGCCAATACCTTATGAAAGGTTTAGTTCAGAAGGGTTTAGTTTGGGTTTAGGCAGCGACTGCAGTTTGACAAGGGACTGACCGTGAAGAACTTGCGAGTTGTCGTGACGGTGACGAGGGTGAGGGCTGAGAACGAGCGGACGAGAAAGAAGATGAAGAACTGAAGAGGGAGAGAAGAAGAGAGGGGGAGAAGAAGAGGAGGGGAGAAAAAGAGAGGGAGAGAAGAAGAGAAGAAGGAAGAGAGGGAGAGGGGGAGAGGGGAAGCGAAAGACGAGACGAGGAAGAGAGCAGAGGAGAGAAGAGTATAAGGCGAGAGAAGAGAGGTACAAGGTGACAGGAATGGGAGACGAAGAGGGAGGAAGTAGCGGGTAAGTCTGCCAGCCTTCTCTTTCCCCTCCTGCTCCTATGACTAACCTGCCCAGTCGCCGACATGAGGCCGAACTGAATGATCTTGCTCAACACCTGCAGGAAACCTTCACAAGAGAACTACTCTTCTCCTCTCCCTCTCTTCATCCCCCTCCCCCTTCTTCCTCCCCGCTCATCTAGTGCGGAGACGCATCTTACCTGCGGATGCTGCACCACGTATTTTACAGCTTCTGTGAGCAAGACTAGTGAGAGGAAGGGAGTGAAAGTTTCACAGGCTCCTACTTGACCCGTCACCCGTCACGAGCATCGTGAGGAGGAGGAGAACCATCGCCCACAAGTTGGTGTAGTACATCATCTAAGGAGCAGAGTGAGCCAAGAATGGCCATGCTGAACGACAGGAGCAAGGACGATGTTTGCCTGGTGAGTGGAGGAGAAATACTTGGAGAAGATCTCCTCCTGAGTTGGACTGACGAACCTGAAGCATAGGTCAACTTCAAGATCCTCTCCCTCCCTCCCTCCCTCCCTCCCTCTCCCTCACTCCCTCCCTCCCCCTTCCTCCCTCCCTCCTTTCCGTTCCCTCCCTCTCCCTCCCTCTTGCTCGCTCGCTCGCTCGCTCTCAATTCTCACCCGTCCATCACCAGAGACAAAAGGGCGAGAGCGAGCCCGACGGCTGATGTCTGAGCGGCTGCGGGAGGAAACATATCAGAAATTCTCACTAGATGGCGAGCGAGTTACTCTTGATAGCCTTGGCGCTCTTCTTGAAGAAGGTGAAGCAGATGATTCCTGCGAGTAGGGTGAGCGAGTAGGAGGCGCCAGAGGAGAGGAGACGCGCAAGAGGAGGGGAGGAGCTAAGGGGGAGGAGAGAGGAGAGGGAGAGAGAAGAGTGAGACAGGAGGAGTGAGAAAGATGGAGAATGTTCAGAATGTGAGGAAGGGAGACGGAAAGGTGAAGTGAAGGGGGTGGGATGGTAGAGGAGGGGGAGGGGAGGCGAGCAAGTGCCAGTGGGTCTTACCGATGGTGACCATGAGGACTCTGACGTAAGCAGCGAGCGGGTAGGACTTTCCCCTCCAGAGGACGTTGACGGCCATGACAGGAATCATCTTGCACGACTTGACAATGACCTGATACATCACCTCAGTGACGGCGGAGGAGCCACACAAGGCAAGGCAGGAAAGCGAGGGCGAGGGACAGCAAAGGGAGGTAGCAAGAAGGAGATGGAGAGGGAGGGGGTGAGAGGGAGGGAAATCCTGACACGCGAAGAGCTCACCTGAGTGGGATAGCTGATGTAGAAGAGAGCTGCATTGCTGAAGAGCATCGCCAGCACGTAGCAGAAGCCGACTTGCATGTACATCGGCCACAACCGCCCACTGCCAGGTCAAGGTGGTCAGAACTGACTTGCCTCCACTGCAGTCAGGCTCGAGACAACTCGCAACATCGTCAGGCAATCTTGCTGCTCTAACCTGAAGCCCTTGAAGTCCTCCATGGACTGCCACCCGGTCGCTGGCTGCGGGGAGAATCCGCACGAGACCCTCGAGAAGAGAGCGCCGATGGCGCATTGCACTGCAACCACGAAGAGCAAGGAGCAGACCTGGGCAGCAGAGTGAGCGAGCCAGTCAAGTGCGGCCGCACAGACGCTCTCACCTCCTTGAAACTCTTGCCGTCAGCTCCATACTTGGAGGTCATGAGATCCTCCTGTTGCCACGTCACTCAAGCTTCTCACAGCCCTTGTCTCACCTGCAGCACACCGTAGTAGAGGTAGCAGAAGTAGATTCCGAACACGCATACGAACAGCTCGAACGGAGTGCCCGTCCCTTGCTTAGAGGACTCGACCTCGTGCCTGCTCCATATCATCCCTCCTCTTCTCGCCTCTGCCTAACACACCGCCCTCCCCGGAGCCTTGCAAGCTGCTGCCTCCCATCATCTTCTACAGACTTTCTGCCAGGGCTGCAGTCACTACACGGTAGAGAAAGGAAGAGCAGGAGCAGGAGAAGGGAGCAGGAGCAGGAGCAGGAGCAGGAGAAGGAGCAATAGGGGGTGGAAGAAAAGGAAGAGGAGGAGAAAGGAAGAGAGTGAAGTACGGAAGAAGAGAGGAGAAAGGAGAGAGGAAGAGAGTGGAGTACGGAAGAAGAGAGGAGAAAGGAGAGAGGAAGAGAGTGAAGTACGGAAGAAGAGAGGAGAAAGGAGAGAGGAAGAGAGTGAAGTACGGAAGAAGAGAGGAGAAAGGAGAGAGGAAGAGAGTGGAGTACGGAAGAAGAGAGAGGAAAGGAGAGAGGAAGAGAGTGGAGTACGGAAGAAGAGAGAGGAAAGGAGAGAGGAAGAGAGTGGAGTACGGAAGAAGAGAGAGGAAAGGAGAGAGGAAGAGAGTGGAGTACGGAAGAAGAGAGAGGAAAGGAGAGAGGAAGAGAGTGAAGTACGGAAGAAGAGAGAGGAAAGGAGAGAGGAGGTACCTCTGAGGTCTCAAGCTCACACGTCCCGAGGGTCTCAAAGATGCTGAGACAGGTGTTACAAGAGATTGACCTCCAGGCATCATACGCTTCTCAGCCAACTCAAGCCCATTTCGAGTATGCGACGGATGGAGCAAAGCAGAAGTGAGGGAGATCAGCTGCAACAAGAATTAGATGTCATGACACGACGGGAAGATGGTGGGAAGCAGAAGTGAGGAAGAAGAGAGAACAGAAACGGGTTCTAGGAGACATTTTTGTTGATCTCCTCTAAATCACAGATTTCTTTGCGCGCTTTCATACTTTGTTATCAAATACACATTATAGCCACCATAATCTCATCATGTATGAATCATCTCGATTAGTCTGTCGCTTCCCCTTGTCTTTCCTTCCTCCGCCTTCTAATGCTTGCCTCTTCTTGTCTTCATCTCCTCTCGGTACCTTCTTCTTGCCATCCTTTACTTCTGATGGTCTCGTCTCCTCTAAATATCCTCAACCTTCTCCCTCGGTCTTCTTCATCATACTCTTCACCTTTCCTCTCCATATCCCTCGACTCGCTTTCCGCCACTCCTCGCTGCTCTCCTCGCTACTCTCCTCTCGCCCCCCCCCCCCCCACATCTCTGCTCCACGTTTCTTTCCTACCACAAGCTACTTGTCTGTCTATCCATCATGTCTTGCTTCTTTCTCCTCGTCCCTCCTCCTCTCATGCTCTTACCATGCATGTCCCTATCCATCGAAGCCATGCCATCTCCACTGCACCTTCCCTGATCCAACCACCCCACCCCTGATTCTAACCTTGGTACCCCTCCAAATCTGCATTGCTACCCCACATTTCTAGATGCAGTAACCCCTACCCCGTGTATCTAGCTTGAACCTCCAGGGTCCACCTACCACCCTAGAGCGTTGAGATTCACCCCTGCCAAAACCACCCTACCCTACTTCAGCCATCACCCTCATGTAGACCTACCCCCACATATTCCCTGAAAAATAGTTTATCCCTGGGGATGAGTAAAACCGAAGGAGTACCCTACCCCCTCTTCCCTAGTAGTACCTCAATTGATCTACACAACTGTAAAAGACAGACCACCCCCTACCCCCACGTAAAGCCTTCCACCCTCTCTAAAAAAAAAGTTGTAAAACCGTGAAACAGCCTCGGAACCCGGGTTGGCGGCCTGCGGCAACCCGGAACCCGGCGGCGGTGACTTGGCAACGTCACGGTGACCGTAACGGCCGGGCGGCCCCGTTGGCTCAGGCCCGGCCGGTTGAAAGTTGGCCCCAGTTGCGGCTGCGTCGGATGGCACTGCCGCCAGTCATCGGCTGAGAGTCACGGTGCCAGCGCTGCCCCGAGGCGAGTCCCGGCCCGGACTCCGAGGCTCGGAGTCACCGGGCCCCGCCGATGGCGGCAAGCAACCTTCAATGTGTCAGTGTTGAAACGGCGTGACTCACGTGACGCCGCCCGGCGTCCGAGCATCCGGCCCAGGTCGGATCATGGCTAACTAGTCAGTTTCCGACGGCGGCCCGCCGGGCCGAGTGAGCGGCGTTCAACGACGCGGCCGCGGGGGGCGGCTGCGGCAGTGGGCCCGGCCGGGCCGCCGCGCCGCCGCCGGGCCCACAAAAAACAATTCCTTTAGCTCGCCTAATATTCGGGCCTATCCTTCTTGTTGAGCTAAAGGAAATGACGGGTTTCAATAATTAACAGAGATTCACAGAGTCATGGACCGGTGTTTGAGTCTATTCAAACCTGGGGTCTGCAGAACTCTAGAGGGTGGGGTACTTTGTATAGTTGCTTCCACGGATCAAGGGGTGGGGGTGGTATCGTTGGGGGTCGAGGGAAATAGAGGGGTATTCGACCTGGGTACCCCAGAATCATCCAATTAAAGGTGGGTAGGGGTCCAAAAACCAAGCACGGGTGTATTTCAATCGACATGAATGTGGGGTGGGGTGTGCAATATGCTCAAGGAGAACAGGAAAATACCGCTGAGATCTGGGGTAGGGGTATTTGTCAAACGGGTCAATTAAATAGGTAGATTATCTGACGTGGGTGGGGTAATATACAATGGGGGTAGGGGTGGTGGAAGGGTGGGAAAGCCATTAAGGTCGGGGAAACCTGTCAGGTTAGGAACCGCCGCCGCCATGCTCGCAAAGTTCGCTGTTGCCGCTGCCGCCATTGCAGGAGCCGCCGCCTTCACCCCCATGCAGGTCAAAAATGAGCAGGATTGATGTGATTAATTTGATCTGTCAAACAAGATAAGCTAACATGGTTGAAATGGCATGAGAACTAGAAAAATACTTCAATCATCATTACTGATTTTGACGAAAAATTGAGATCCGGCAATACTTCGTGCTTAGGCCATGACTGTCTTTGAATTCACAGTGGATTGTGATTCTTCTCATCCCATGTCTTACCATATTCATTGATTGTCTCCCATTGGATCTCATCTAATCTATGAAAATTCCAATTATCTAATTGACCAAAACGACAGTCTTCTAGTTTTATAATCAGTTGGGAGTCCACTCTGCCATGCATTTGACCATATAACAATTGGTCATTCTAGAATTGATATAATTTTTTGATATTGCTGTTGACTTGTGGGATGTTGATGTGAACAGCATTTGATTTGTTTCCACATGTTCAATAGTCTTATCTCACTCCCGCTCTCAGGCCCCTGCTCTCCGCCAGTCGAATGTCCAGATGAACATGGCCATCGACCGCCGTGACGTGCTCAAGACTGCTGCTGCTGCTGGTCTTGCCCTCGCCAACGCTGGTGCTGCCTCTGCTGCTTGCGACAACGCTGCGAAGAAGTGCACCACCGACCAGGTCAACAAGAACGCTGCCCCTGTGGTAAGTTTGAGCACGGGTGCGACTGCTCGGCTGACAGAATGCAGATCACCATCTTCGATCACCGTGGCTGCGCTGAGCACCAGAACAAGGAGTACACTGGCGCTCCCTCCAACGACTACAACGATGAGATGCTCGTCAAGGTTCAGTCCGTCACCCTCAAGAGGGATGACCCCAAGTTCCTCGACATGGCCAAGTGCGATAGACCCTCATGATGCGAGATAGCGCCCTCTTACTTGTCCGCAGGCGTGTCGACATGGAGTCCAAGATGACCTTCCACAAGTCCTGGCAGAAGGGATGGGCATACGACAGCGACCTCAACGCTGGTATGCCCTTGCCTTGTTGCTCCATCTCACCTCCCTGACCGTCTTTTAGGTGCCACCAACGTTCACGGAAACGAGAAGGCTGCCAAGGGCAACGGTCTCTTCTAAGTCCGATAGGACACTCAGCTGCGAGAAGGAGATCTTTGCAGCATTCCATTCATTCATTCAGAAAGTGACCAATGAAAAGCTTCGATCTTACTCGGCCAGCTATGTTACACATTTGATGATCTATTGTTTACATGGAGCTTCTTGGATTGTTGATGGAGGTTTCGATTGAGGGAACTTTCCTCCTCTTCCGAGAGAGCAAGCATACGATCTCGTCGTAGAATCCTCCACAGATTGAGACTGCATCAAGTCAAACAAGTGCAAAGATGTCCTATTCGTTACCTGCTTGCCCCATTCATGCACATCAACATCACGCACGTTGATGCGCTCACGCCCAGAACCTGCATGTCCAGTGAGCTGCGTCTTCGGGCTACATCTTCGGTTACAGTTACCGTAAGGTTTCTCCAAATGACAAGAGACGCCTGCTTGCTGCAGCAGTTCTGCCTGCATGTGCGTGAGTACGAAGCAACTTTTCGTGGCATGGCAACTTCATCTCCTGGTTGACTTCTCCAGCGCATGATGGGCAGACATTGATCAACCTGGCAAGCTGTCAGATCGCTTCTTGGTAAAACTATCTTGCTCACTTTTCTTGGATGAAAGACCACTGCCCAGCAAGTACACTGCCTGATCGTTTGGAATCTATGAAGCAAACGATCGCCATGGAGAGTAGAAGAGCAGCGAAGAACAGTTCCAACACCCCGTTTATGAGCAAGAAAGCCTGTCATGAACCCCCTTACAACCCGTCTCCTTCTCCGTGTCAAGCTCACTGCCCATGTGTAGTATGCTGCAGTAAAGCCGAAGATGGCAAAGAAAATCACCATGACCCCGATAGAGCCTGCTCAGAGCAAGTCAGCTTGGCCCTCACGCAGTTAGCCCGTGCCCACCAATGAGCTCAGGCAGCCATCCCTTCTGCACTCCGACGTCTGTTACCATGTCGTCACGGGCGCGGCCTTGAAGGTCATCGCGTGCTCACCTCGAGTGGCAGGTAAGAAGGCGAGGATAATCATGACAAGCCCTGCACCTCCGTCAGCTCGTTCACTTGTCGACACTTACTGGTCAACCCACGACGAAGCCGACGAGGTTGATGATCATGATGCTCTTGCGGGTGGTGTAGCGATAGCCCATCACTATGGCGCTGAGGTGCGCGGAGAGGATGTTGATCAGCATGGTGAAGAGGCAGAGGGAGCCAGCAAGGTTCGCGTACTTTCCCACATCTCTGTGCACTTGCTCCTGACTCAGTTGACCCTGCGGAAAGAGCTCCGACCAAGAGACCCAGTAGGCCTCGATGAAGTCTGCAGCTTTGGCAGCGAAGAGGAAGCAGAGGAGCATGAGATAGAATAGCCCCGAGCACATGAGCAGGACAATGACATAGTAGGCCATCAGGAGCCGGTTGCTGCAGCAGCTCACTCGCCAGTCCCCGTCCCGTGAGATGGCACAGCAAGCACCGGACAAGCCGAAGAAAGAGTTGAGCAGGGTGATGGAGCTGACGGCGATGACAGCAGAAAAGGGAGGCTGAATGGCAGTCGACGAGGTCGTCGGAACTTTCGAAGCAGCCGACGCTCCCGCAAACAGCATCAGGGATGAGGTAACGATCGATATTGCGTTGATGATGAAGAGGACGCAACGAGCTCGCAGGGTTGACTCCTTCCTCGTCCGACATCGCGCTCTGGTGGGAGAGGGCGAAATTCCCCTTTCCTTCCCGGAGGTCCTTGACTCCCCTCTGACCCGCCCTTTCTCCTCGTCCTCGTCCTCGACCTCGTCCTCCAATGATCGCTTCCTCGATCGTCTTGCTCGCTGTCTCCGTCTTCTTTCATACCATTCGTCCTCTTCCTCTTCCTCTTCCTCTTCCTCGTTCCTCCTCCTCCCCTTTGCCTTGCGCTTCTCCTTCACCATGCCGTCAATCTGATCTTTAAACTCTATCTGTCATATTTGAAATGTTCAGAGTAACTTTGAATTTTCAAATCGAAATCACGATTTGGCAACAAGCAGCTCGCCTGATTTTGTTTCTACCCGCTCCTGGAGGTACGAGAACAGATAGGGAGGAAGGGAGGGGAGGAAGGGAGGGGAGGAAGGGAGGGGAGGAAGGGAGGGGAGGAAGGGACGAGGATGAGGGGAGGAGGAGAGAATGAGAGAAGTAGAGTCAGAAGGAGGAGGAGATGAGGACTGAGAGGCGCGAAGGAGGGAGAAGAATCAGATGATGAGGAGAATCTTTGGAACGAGCAGCAGCAGAATGAGTGAAGAGGATATGGTGCTGAATATGAGTACGAGTCAGGGAGAAGCAGGGAGAAGGAAGGAGGATGATCAGGATGTGTAGTGGAGGGTTGAAGTGGAGGAGGAGGAAGTCGAAGCTTCTGTACATAGATCATCGGATGTACAAATATGAACAGAAAATGATGTTGAGGATAGTCGCATGGAAGTCGATGTTGTTGATGATAATTAACTGTAAGAGTTGGCAAAGCTCACAATCAACAAACTTGCACCTCACTTCCATGGTGCATGAAAGTTTGTGCATGTTGTCACCAGTGGGAGCGCTGATCTTGCCAGCTGACGACAGGTGGAAGCGGTTGGGTTGAAGATGGCAGCCGAGATAGGAGACGAGGAGAGGAACGAGCTTTATCAGCTCTTCTGCAGTCTTGATGCGGATGGCGGAGGGCAGTTGGAGCTGCAGGAGCTGCAGCAGCTTTTCGATTCCATGGGGATCAAGATGGAGGAGGAGAAGTTGAAAGAAATGTTTGCAGAGGTCGATGAGTCAGGTGACGGATCGATCGACTTTGACGAGTTCCTCCACATCGTCAAGAAACAAGTTCGCTGCTCCTGCTCCTGCTCCTGCTCCTGCTCCTGCTCCTGCTCCTGCTCCTGCTCCTGCTCCTGCTCCTGCTCCTGCTCCTCGTCTTCCTCTCATCTCACCTCACGAGTTGCTCGCAGAAAGCCATGGAAATGCCACTCGACCCGCTAGCAGAGGCTCGACGAGCGTTCGATCTGTTCGACAAGGACGGAAGTGGAAGCATCGACGCGGGGGAGCTGAAAGATGCTCTCAGGGCGATGGGACAGAACGTGAGGCAGCGTGTTTCCTCGTCAATGGCTGACAGGGCTTTTCAAGTTCACCGACGCTGAGGTCCGCGAGATGCTGGCGCAGGTGGACGACGACGGGAGCAGTGAGTGGAGTGAAGGAGATGCTGGAGGAGCTGAACGAGAAGCAGATGAGATCGACTTCAACGAGTTCTGCACTCTCATGGGCATTAGCCGCAGCCCTCCGGTAGCTGTTTGAGGTGACAGCGTCAATGGTGACTAATTGATGCGAAGAGCACGAAGAAGAAAGCGAAGAAATCTTCTCAGGTCTGTCGCTTGCTCGCTCTCCTGCTTCGCCGCCAATCAAAGCTTGTCTGGCAGCAAAATCTGTCGGTTAATGACCAAGAAGTAAGTTCTTTGCTTTGCCTCGGTTTCATTCAGCGACGTCGGATCAGATGCGGGAACTGTTTGACCTGTTCGACGAAGACAAGTCTGGAGAAATCACTATCGAGGTCTGGTTTACAGTTGCCCTTCTCTCAGTCTGACGCTAGTCTGCTTTGTAGGAGCTGTCCAAGATCATGGAGAGCATGGGCAAGAACATGAGCTACTCGCAGCTGCAGAACATGATTGCCTCGGTGCTGGACTTGCTCGTCGAATGGGGTTGACAGATGAGGCGGGACAGGTGGATGAAGACAAGACTGGCAGCATCGACTTCGAAGAGTTCAAGCAAATCATGGCCAGCGATCTGCGGGATGATCCTGTGACGAGGAGGAGGAGGTTCGGGAGGCGTCAGAGTGACGGGGGTTGTGAGAGCAGATGGCCGAGGCCCGGAGGATCTTCGATATGTTCGACACGGATGGGAGTGGCTCCATCGACTTCTTTGAGCTGTCGCAAGGTTGGCGACTTGTGCTCTGACTTGACCCGCATGATTGTCAGCCTTCTTGCAGCCCTAAAGGCCCTCGGGAGAAACGTCAACGACGGGGAAGTGGAGCAGCTGCTGAAAGCAGCCGATGAGGATGGAGGGGGAGAGATTGACTTCGACGAATTCTGCGACCTGATTGGAATTTCACCGCCCAACGACAAGCTCAAGGTGTGCATGCTCAGCGACCCGCCTCGCTCACTTGCTCTACAGCATCCGGCAGCAAAGCCAGGAAAGAAGAAAGCAGAGACGCAACAGAAGCATCAGGCAGCTGCAGCAGAAGCACAGATCTCCTCGACGACTGATGGATTGAGCGAGAAGCAGAAGAAGAGACTGCAAGAAGTGAGCGATCTCAGTTGCTCACCTCACAGCCAGTAAGCCTCTGCTTACAGAAAGAAGAAAAAGAACGTGAACGCCAGATTGCCTTTGAAAACTCAAGAGCGAGTGATGTATGAGTTGATGATGTTAGGTGATTGATGTTGGATGCTTGCAGACGAAGAAGATTGGACGAAATTCCTCTCTAACATGAGTGCGGAAATGCTTGACAAGACTGCTGTGATACCGTTCCTCTACCTCCTCTCGTTGTGAAGTTTCCCAGGGAGGTAGCCGGACGGTGGAGCCCCGCACAGAACAGTTTGATGCTTTCCGGTATGAACATGGCAATGATGGAGATAGTGGTTGTGGTTGTGATGATGATGATGATAATGATTGCGAGAGAGAAGAGGAAGAGGAAGAGGAAGAGAAAAGGAGTTGGAAGTAGAGGTCGAGGCCGAGGTCGAGGTCGAGGCAGAGGTCGAGGTCGAGGTCGAGGTGAAGGTAGAGGTAGAGGTAAAGGTAGAGGCAGAGGTGAAGGTAGAGGTGGTGGTTTGTAGTTTTGTAGGCGAGGGAGGAGATAGAATGGGATAAATTTGGGTGACCTTGATATGGCAGGCACGATTTGATTCACACGCTGGCAGCTCGAGGAGACCTGGGGCGGGCGAGTGAGCGGAAGCGAGGGAGGGGATCTAAGAGCTCGCAGATTTCCTCCATCCTCGCGGGCGTCAGCGAGTCGAAGCGCGACATCAACGCGGTCGATGACATGGGGTGATGCGACTCTTTCGTCTGCTCTGCTCAGCCTCGCTGGTAGTTGGACCCCCCTCATGTGGGCGATACACAAGCACGAGATCGAGATCGCGCTGCTGCTGCTGGAGAATTCGGCGAAGGCGAGGGAGCAGAAGGTGGCTTGTCGCTTGTCTTAAAGACACGGCAGGTGAGGGTTCGAGATTTTGACGGCCGTACGGCCTTGCACATGGCGGCGATGGAAGGAGAGGTGAAGCAGCGACAGACTGGCGGGGCAAGTGACGTTGTTGAAGGCTCAAGTGGTTCGAGCCCTCAGCGCCAGGAAAGTTAACCTGGACGCGGTCGACAACTACGGTGACACGCCGCTGCTCCTTGCAGCCAAGCGAGGTAGTCAAGCAGAGAACGCAGAGCGCCCTCACGACGCGACTGGCAGGTCACGTCGCCGTGGTGGAAGAGCTCATAAACTGCTCATGCGACATCAACAAGGTACAGGCGAGGCGAGGGAATGAGAAAGTGAGGGAGGGAGGGAGGGAGGGAGGGAGGGAGGGAGGGAGGGAGGGAGGGAGGGAGGGAGGGAGGGAGGGAGGGAGGGAGGGAGG